TCGAACCCGCCACCCTAGGTGTACGTGGCTGGCGCCTTAGCCGGTTGAGCCACAGGCGCCGAGCCCCAACTATTTTTTTGTTGCAGTTTGGTCGGGGCCGGATTTGAACCCACTACCCTCGGTATATGGGGCCAGCACCCTACCCACTGAGCCACAGGTGCCGCCCCCCCAAAAAAGTCACATAATTTTTAAATACAGCAGGAATCACTTTCTTTTGATTATTTTGCACATTAGAGCATTTTTCTCCTTTTAAGATACCCTGTCAATACAGAATCCTGTCCATTTATTGTTAATTGGACAAAATAATAAAAATAATAATAACAACAAAAAAAGAGTGGTGCAGGGCTCCTATCTCCCTCCCTCCACAAGAACTCGCAGTAGTTGACTGCCTATCTCTGGTTGCAGTGCCTGTAAACCTCTCCCAGCTGCAGACCTGCCAGGGTGCTCAGGATAGACCATGCCTTCTCCAGGCTGCTCAGAGCCAATGAATGAGCTTGATGGGAGCCATTTCTACTGCTTTTTCCCACAGGCAATCTTTGGTCCGGGTTTTCCCACTGGCTGACGCTTTCTCAGAACTGTACTATGTTTGACTTTTTCCTGTTTCCTTTCTTCTCTCTCCCCTTGCACAGACCTGCACCACAGCCTGAAACCGCCCACCTCCGGCCTTCTAGTCAAGCACAATAATAACTTATCACTTTTAGTCAGTTATTTTGTTACTCAGACAAATCCATCCTAACTGACACATCACACACAAGCTGACAGGAAGAGACATGCTTGATACCCACCAGGTAAGAGACTGGTTTATAAACAGGGAAATATTTATTCCACTCCAAAAAGTACATCAGGAAGTGACAGGAATCACAGCAAAAGTTATCTAACTATATAACAGATGGCTGTCACTAGCTTCGTGTTTACTCCTAGAATCCCGAAGCATGATGTTTCAAAGAAATGATCTCTCCTTCAGCTACTCCTAGTTACTCAAAAGTAAGTTATGTACATCTGGAAAAGAGTTCTGCCCTGCTGAAGCTAGGAGTGTGATGGGAAGGAGAAAGGAGCATCAGTTACAATAAATTGATTAAGGAACAGCTGGGTTATAGTGTAGCGCCATCCCAGGCAGATGGCCAGAACCCATACAAACTGGGCTGGCCCTGGGACCTGCCAGCCTACATTCTGCTACAGCTTCAGTATGCTCATGTACCACTGTCAGCCAAAGTCCTTGGGGCAAAGCCCTAAATGCCTCCTTTAAGCCCCCTGCTGGTTGGTTTCATCAGTATCTCGCCTCTTCCATATCTGTAAGAAATGAAAACACCAATTGAAAAGCAAGTCTAGGAGGCAGTCAACAAGTATGTGTCAAGTACCTATTCTGTACCAGGCAACGACCAGCTCATCACCCAACTTACATAGCTGCTACATCTCCTAAAAATCATTCAAAAGCTTTCAGAAAACCCCCTTTTATTCAATTTTCATTTTTCCATCCACACTCTCTTATTTCCCATTCCAAACTTCCTTTCTAGCCATGCACTGTGGCTCAAGCCTGTAATCCCAGCACTGTGGGATGCTGAGAAGGGAGAATTGCTTGAGCTCAGGAGTTTGAAACTCACCTGAGTGAGACTCCAACTCATGAAAAAAATGGAAAAACCTAGCCGGGCACCACAGCAAGCACCTGTAATCCCAGCAGCTTCCGGAGGCTGAGGCAGCAGGATGCCCACAGCCAGAGTCTGAGGTTGCAGTGAGCTGTGACACCCACCACTGCACTCTGCTCAGGCTATAGGGTGAGACTCTGTCTCAACAACAACAACAACATGCTCGGCGCCTATGGCTCAACCGGCTAAGGTGCCAGCCACATACACCTGAGCTGGTGGGTTCGAATCCAGCCCGGACTCGCCAAACAACAATGACGGCTGCAACCAAAAAATAGCCGGGCATTGTGGCCGGTGCCTGTACTCCCAGCTACTTGGGAGGTGGAGGCAGGAGAATTGCTTGAGCCCAGGAATTGGAGGTTGCTGTGAGCTGTGATGCCATGGTTCTCTACCCAGGGGGACAGCTTGAGGCTCTGT